CCAGCCACGAACAAAGTCCTGAAATGCCCTGATCCTCAATTCTAATTTTGCTGACACTAGCAAGCAATTAGCTGATGGAATACATGGCAATTCTCTGAAACTGAATGATGGTGAAGTAATTTTGAGAACACATGTGGCCATGGCCAGCACACAATCTGTCAGATCATGAGTCCGGCTGTCTTTGTGCTCTTGTTGCTAGCTTCGCTGAATCGTATCAAAGGGTTGGTATGCTCAAACGTAAAGGAGCTTATTATTAAGAAACTATACACTGATGGATGCATTTACCGAGGTTTGTCATGTTATTTTAGGAAAACTAGCATAGCTGTCCTCCAGATCTGGGAAGCACTTCCTGTGGATTAAAAGTTTTCAATTTTAGGTGTGCATCCCATAAGAAGTCATGCTTTTTTTCCATGAGCAATTGTAAACTGGAATACAGTGTGTAGGTACACTTTATTACTCTAAAAATCCTTTTTTATCAAAGGCAAATGGCTTCTCTGAAATCTAAGGTATTCCTTTAAGTTTTTAATCTAAGGTTAGATTAACAAATAACCAGACGCCACCCGATCTAAATATTCCCTCACAGTTTAATAGTAATGACTTTATGAATTTCTTCACTGATAAAATAGATAACATCAGAAATACAATAACAAATGTAGATTCTACAGCGTATAATACTTCAGCTTCATTCATCGCACCAAAAGATAAACTGCAGTGCTTTACAACTATAGGACAGGAAGAGCTAAATAAACTTATCACTGCATCTAAACCAACAACATGCCTGTTAGATCCTGTACCCACTAAATTACTGAAAGAGTTGTTACCTGTAGCAGAAGAACCGCTTCTCAATATTATTAACTCGTCGTTGTCTTTAGGTCACGTCCCAAAACCATTCAAGCTGGCGGTTATTAAGCCTCTTATTAAGAAACTGATTGCAAATGATTGCAAAGATACTATTTAAACTGAACTGAGCTGGATGATGACATCACTGAATTCAATGATGAACTGTCTAACTGAAAAAATTAGTGTTTACTATTATCATTTTGCATTATTGACACACTATTTTCCTAATTAATGCTGTTCAGTTGCTTTGACACAATCTGTATTGTTAAAAGCGCTATATAAATAAAGGTGACTTGACTTGACTTGACTTTCATCTTTAAGTAAAATGTAAGAACATTATAGCTGTGTTCTAGTCTGAGTGCCCTGAAATCCTGAGGTTTTCCCATGAAGTCTATCATTTTGTTTGGGACGAGGGCCCTGAACTCTTGCTTGCCCTCTGGCCGTTTCACAACAAAGCTGTTAGCACAAACTGCCAAACAAAATATGTCTGATGCTGACCCCTGACCAGCAATAAACTGAACAATTTCCCTTACACTGCAAGATTCAGAGCTAAGCTACAAAGTGGACAATTACATTAGATGCTTATTTGAAGAGTGTGCTGACTAGTTTGCTAAAAGCATCAAAGGGCAAAATGTACAGTTTTGGGTGGACTGCCACCAGTCAAAATCTGTTTTAAACTACTCAGAAGGTAGTAATTATCTCATACACTGAATGGTAAGACTTTTGTCTGATTTCAAGTGGTGAAGTATGTAAGTTCTTTACAGCTAGCAGCATGAAGCAAAATTCTGTCTGTTTTAGCTGCCTGACTAACCTGGAAGTTGGCAGTCTAAGGTGGGACTACTTGTGTGACGGATGAGGTGAGAGTGAAACTTATTTTATTTATTTACACATTTGACCTTTTAATGCATAGCGTATCAAATCAGGAAAAAAAATGCTTATTTTACATAATATCACAGGCTTTACCAGTGGCAAACAGCTAAGGAGAGTAATTAGCATCAATGGGCCTCTTAGTTTAAGGCTTCCTGAAACTCATCTATTTGAGTTCCTGAGTTCTGCCCAAACTTAAATACTCTCTGCAGTGTTTGTGGATTTAGGTGGTGTAAATCTGATTCAATCCAATTCTGAGTTGAAATCACACAGCTTGGTGACTTACACAGTTGACTGAGCTGCTAGGACAATGAGATATGGGTGTAAAGAAATTTTATTGATCCACAACCAGCACAAGGCACACAGTTTTCTCGGTGCATGTATATACTGTAGGTGTGTTCTCTAATTTGTTTTAATATTAACCTGTAGTGCTATTAATAAGCAACTTTCAAGATGTGACGGTGTATGTTTTGTTGTCAATGATAGAGTAGCACTATAGTAAATTTAGTCTAGGGCTCCTGAGATAATTGCTGTTCAGGTAACATGGTTCATGTGAATCATGGATATAAAACTTGTACGCGCATTTTTGTTTGCTCTTACGTGTCTTTACATTGACAGTCTCTTTCCATTTTTCCACACATAGTTTCCTCAAGAGAGACGATTGTAACCCTTTGCCATCCCACTCCTGTGAACATATGCAAATACACTTGTAATTGAGTCTGCTGGGGGACTTGGCACTTGAGTGACAGTGAGGCCATGTCTCTGCTGTTGATTTCAAACGAGTACTTTTTTTCCTCGCTGTAAACACGATACAAAACATTCAGTTGGTGCAGATGACATGGTGGGTTATTCTTATTACAGAGAATGCAACACCTTCAATTGTGAACAAAATTGTTTCAAAGGAACATCGGCGTTGTTTCACATACTCCGCCACAAATACAGTGCGATGCCGTACACGGATTACAGTTGTTTTCTATGAATCTCTGTCACCTTAATTCGCTGTGAGCATTGCACTGCTTGAATCACCCTGTAAATCGTGTACGGATCAATCCAACCAATGAGACTGATGCAAATTTACATCTGCTCACATTTTATGTCTGTTTTGACATTTATCCGAGGGAAGCTGTATTCCTGCTGCTTAGCTGTACAGTATGTATGTGTGTGTGAGAGATTATATCTGTTCTGTAATGTTTAGTGCAGTGATGTTTGCCAATCTATTGCGTTACCCAAGCAAAAGGAGTCATATTATGTTGTGATCCAATAAAAATGGCTTTAATACCACTAATGCTGTAAACTTTGGTGTCCATTGACAAATCACATGTTGTTGTGAGATCTATTTTATATGTTATATTAGAATAGTTGTCAGAAGAACTATTTTCAAACATAACATGATTCTAGCTTGAAGAGTATCCGTTTTTCTAAATTTTTCAGGGGATGGGGAACAAAAGGAGTAGTAGTGGATGAAGTGGATATTTACCTTGGATCACTTCAAAGAAAATATGAAAATGCATCCTGTCATTTGCCAGCTATGAAGAAGGTCTTTTTTTAAATGGTTGTTCTTTTGAAATCTATTCATCAACACATTTCTTGAGCAGCAAATCAACATATTAGAATGATTTCTGAAGGATCATGTGACACTGAATACTGGAGTGGAAAATTCAGCTTTGCCATCAGTTAAAATATTTTTACAATATTTTGTGATATAATAATCATATTTCACAATATTATTGTTTTTGGATTTATTTTTGATCAAACAAATACAGCTTTGATGAGCATTAAATGCAGCCTTGGTGAACAGTAAAAAAATAGGCCGACCACAACATTTTTTTTGAATGGTAGTGTATATAATACAGTAAGATGTCAAAAAAAAAAAAAGGTATTTCAAACTGATACCATGTCTGTGCCATGGGTTTATTTATTTATTTTTATATAACAGATGATTAAAGATATGAAAAATACCTTAAATGTAGATAGCTGCCTCCTATTTAGCCTATTAGCCCATTTTGCCTATTCAAACCCTTTTTTCACCCGTTTTGTAGTCTCTGCTAATTTAGTACAAATTCAGGCCTTATTTTTGTATCCCATTTGTTGACTATGTAGAAAGTATAATTGAGGTCAGAAAATAGTTTTTTTTCATATGTCAGAGAAGGCCATGCAGGAAAACGTTCCTATAATTATAGAGAATTATAATTAAATTAAAAACAGTTTCATGAAATTGTGGTCACTTCTATGTGAACAAAACATACTAGACTGTGAATGAGTAAATAGCAACTTTCACAGGTGAGCCAAATGTACAACCTTGCTTTACAATTACATGGAGGCAGTGAATTGCTGATCATTATGTGCAAAAATAAATGTTTAAATTAGACACCCTTTGGCAGTTAATCTCTACTTGTGTGCAGAAAAGTAAGATACATATTAGTTCATTTTTAGCAACAGACATGCTGTCATTATGTTCTTTTTTCTAAACAGTTTTGATATATTGGTAACATAAAAGTGAAAGTCTGTGGCAGAGTGCACATAAGCCTCCCTCTCTGTTGATGTTTGCTGGTTCTCTGACTGTGACAAACCATGAAATGCTAATTACTTTGACACAAACTCCGTGGAGAGATGTTAGATCAACACCAAATAAACTGTGGAGATAAATAAGAACCTGTTTACATTTCTGTTTACATGCATTCAATCTTGACTCCACATGCTCTCGGTTTCGATAAACACATCCTTGGCTTGATCCTTGAAGTAATTAATCTTTGTCCATAAATCTGGACTGGACCATATACATTAAGGTTAGGTATAATTACAACGGTGGCTTGTTTTTGCTAAAACCTGATCACCGGTGGGCCCCTTAGAACCTTCGGCTCATAAATCCAGCTCCTCTGACTTAGAGTGACCTGGTGCTTTTCAGCTGTGTTGCTTATTTCAACTGGGTGGTACTGGAAGGCAGAGTGGTACAGCCCCAATGCTACTCCCATCCTAATTTGCAGCTTTTAGTTGTTCATTAGCATGGTAATTAGGCTGCAGTGAGATGCAGAGGCAAAATGTAAACCTGACAGTTTCAGTGCATTGCGTATGATGTGGCGGGTATGCAGGGGGGCATGCAGGCAAAATGCGTGTGGGTGCGCATTCGAGTTTGGGAGGGATGCAGGCTGCTCATTCCTTCTAATGAAGCAGAATTTTTGCTGAAAACAGGCCTCTGCTAATGGAATTTGATCCTAATTATTAGATTGCATTACATACAAACATAGGGGACCTTTTTTCGGAGCCGGCTTCCTGCCATTATGGTCTCTATTTATTTGTTTGTGCTGTTCGAGCTGGCCTCCCTCTCTTGCTCCTGTTTTTTCCTTTTTGCTCATTACGTGCTATATCAAAATTATCTCTGGTGTCACAGGACAGAAGGATTGTGTTTTAGGGCACCGCACTGGTAGCAATGGCCCGTGATGATGCCGGTAATTAGGATGGAACTGTGGATAATACTTATAAATATGACCCCTGACAAATGCATTTACACTGCTGAAATTGTCTGCCCTTTACCGTTAGGTGGCAAAAGAGTAATATTGAATACTTTTTGGCTTTTGCTCAACCAAATGAGAAACAAATTTTTGCAACAGCATTTATTTATATTTGCTTTTAAAGTGGATGCCTTTTTGAGTTTACGTTAGGGAAATAACAAAGTCTTACTGTGTATTGTACCTTAAACCACATATATTCTCATCACGACTAGCCAGTGAGGGTTTTGATGAGATTTATCGATAAACAGTTTTTGTTGCCATGACACATTGCAGCTCAGCCTTGAGGAGAATTGTGAGTAATGTTTTTGTCTTCGCCCGCTCCCTTTATGTGTGACCAGCCATTTACTTCTGAAGGAACAGGAATATTGGCTGAGCGTTCTATATTAATTGATTCTCAGCTAGTTTGTGCCCTCATGTAAGCTGAAAAAGATTTGTAGTGGATTAATATTTGAAACATGCATTTTCAGTCAGGTTGCTTTGAAACTATATGTACTGTAAAAAGCCCTATTCAAATAAACATGAATTGAAGTATCCTAATTTTTAGAATATCAAAAATAATTAAATTACAAAACCTTGTAATTCAAAATTGAATTAAAATCACAGACTGAGTACATAAATATCATTTTTACCCACACCTATCGCCAATAAATTTCACCTCCACAGGTTTTGGATTCACCCTGATGTCATAAAATACTTCACCGCTTCTGAAAAACAGGGCGTCTGCTCTGCTAAGATAAGTTGTTAGCCGGCTCCACATTTGGACACCCATCTCTTTCCGTAGATGACCGCTGCAATAAGGTTGTCAAAACACTCTTCAGCGCTATTTCACACTCTTCGTGCCTGACTGCAACGTCACAAAAAGCGCCTGGAGAGGAGTTGAGTGCTGTTTCTGGATGATGGACAAACAGATACAAGCACTAGACAATACCAGAGTGCAGAGGCCCGAATGCTGACAAGGGGGCCGATGGACGGCTTTAAGTGGCAATTTCCATATTTTTCTGCGTGGTTTCCCCTCTGGCCGAGTTACCATGGTGTTTCTGTCAGTGCCAGTGATGAAATCTGCCAAAGACCTCTTGCTAACACACCGGAGAGGTAATTTGGGGGACAGCTGCTCTGGGTGAGGGAGGCTTGGCTTCATCAATGTGGCTTTTATACAAAAAAGCATCTCTCTCCTGGTCCCGAGGCAAAAAACCGCTGCACAAATGGATGCGTGTTGTGCAAAGTGTGATATTACGTGACTTGCAGGTGGAGTGTTTTTAAAACATGCATGTAGTGTAATATAGATGCTAAATTTAGTTCCTATGTTAATTTTAGTGCATGTTTCTATGGAAATAATAAATGCGCGTCATCAGAAATGCAAAATTTGGGTTTCCTTCCTAAATTTGTAATCTCACAAGTGCATCTTTGGGTTAAAAAAGGGCATATTTGGTGGCATGCATCATTGACAATGACAAAATGTAAAAATTGTTTGGAGGAGCGTGTTATATATTCATGAGGCGGGCTTTTCAAGGTGGGCAAAGACAAGGGAATCCATCATTCGCTTTGAAAATGCAGTAATGCTATTAGGAGATAAATATTTATTACCGGTTCATGTATGCTACAGCTTGTGAAAACAGCAGTTTCGAATGCAACATCGTTGCTGACCGCCAGTAGGCAACTATTGGAGAATCTGTGACACATTCACTTTCATTAAACCAGGTGTTGGGTGTATCCGTACAAGCGGGGGTCAAAGAAAATACCTGATGTACTTCACTTGAAGGCTCGATCACTTAATCTTTTCTATCTCTTTCAACTCGTCAGAGGAGTCTTATTGTGTTCTCCACCGCTCTTAGCTTTCTATCTTGACCGCTCTCTTTCTGGGCTTCATTACACAGGCTGTCCAAGTCTGAAATTGAGGTTACTTTGGACAAGGGCATAATCATTCTTCTGAAGCACGCTGAACTTGCGGCAGCCCCGATCTTCTCCGTTTTTGTGTTTGGCAGGTTTTGCACTTGATAAAAGACCTGCAGACGTCTTCAGAGTTGGAATGGAGCACCTAAAGCCAAGAGTCCCGGAGCAAGAGGGGTGCCTGCGACCGCAGAGAGGCTGTCAGCCGCAGAAATAAGAAATCTTGCACTCCTGGAGAGACCTCTTAGGTGAGTGGAAATGTTTTCTGCTCCGCCTCATCCATGTGGGATGTTTTCTCGAGATGTGGGCCGCATCCGTTTGGCCGACCTTCAGCGAGAAAAGATAATGGATCTTTCCTGTCGGCTTCTGTGGAACTTCACCAGCGAGTTTGCTGGTGGGGAACATCCATCATGTCCCTGTTGTGTGTTTTAAACGTATTCAATTCAAGTTTATTTGTATAGCGCTTTTTACGATACAAATCGTTGCAAAGAAACTTTACAGAAAATTAAGTTTCTACAATATTTAGTAGTAGCTTATCAGTGGTGACTGTCAGTTTATGTACATATGGCAGAAATGTACGGAAAAATCAATTAAAGACGTAATCAAACAGACGATGAACACTATTAACAGCAATTATTATATGATGCAATCAAACTTATAGCAAAATGTGGTAGTTTATGTTGTTTCAGGGTTGGCATCATCTGAGGTCCTCTGAGGGGTTGGCATCATCTCTTCTCAGGTGTTCTGGATCCAGACTGAAGCTTGTGTAAATCCTAACAGAGAAACAAATAGAGACATAATTAGCGTAGCTGCTGTTCCAACCAAGTCAAATTAATTTGTTTAACCCAAACTAAAGAATAATAATGTGCATTTGATCAGATATAACTGCAGTAAAAGATTATGAGATGCATTATTTGAATGCTTGGCCAAAGAGATGTGTCTTTAATCTAGATTTAAACAGAGAGAGTGTGTCTGAACCCCGAACGTTATCAGGAAGGCTATTCCAGAGTTTGGGAGCCAAATGCGAAAAAGCTCTACCTCCTTTAGTATGAGTCCAGACCATGTATGAACTATGACTGATGGTTCCGCCAATAAACCGATCCTCATTCTGCTGTGATCAAAACCTGGCTCGTCCTCTCAGAGGTTTATAAAAATGAGTAACGTTGCACCACAAACAGAAACGACCGATATCAGCAGGTATGGGGCGCGGGATGCAAATAGATTACAGCAATAAAGAAAAGATGACTGAAAGGGTTAGATGACCCGGTAATGACCGTTTGATTAACCAATGAAAGAGAAATAAATACAAACTTCAGTTGGACATAAAAAACGTCTGCTCAAAGAAGAAAGGGCAGGAACCTCTGCAGATTTGGTTTGTCAAGACACCTAAGGGATTAATAAGGTGTTTTTCTTAACCAAGATTGGTTCTGTTCCCAGTTGCATTTCACATAGGATCCATCAAGAGCTCTTCGATCTTGACATTTCAGTTTTTTCCTTTAAAGAATGTCAAGAATAAAGGCAATTTTACACCCAAGCCACTGTGGAATTCAATTAATTAGTTATCCATATACACTTGAGGCCTTTTCCCTATTAAGTAATTATGAACCGCTATCGATTTCAGCCATTACCTTAATTAATTCACTAAATTAATCATGTTAAAAGATTACAGAAGATTAGAGATTTACTCTTTTGCTCAATAGTGTATCTTCTTAACATGCAACATGCCCTTCAGATCAGTTAAACGAAGTGACGGCTAAACTCTTTTCTTAAACATTTGTCTTTGTCCAGTGCTCAGTAATTAATGTTGAATACTATAAAGGTTCAGCGCAGGTACCAGCTTAACAAATCTATCAAGTGGTGTATTTTGAGATAGGCTCTAGTGTTAGCTTAGCTGCTGGGGCATGAAATACTTATCCAGCTCTTGCTCGGCCTGCCAATTCCCATGGCCGTCAAGGAATCAATTGTGTTTGAACCCTCGCCATCATGGCAGGCCTCTGCCACCACACACATGGTACAACAGATCAGTTCTTCTCTCGGCCTGCCCAGAAACACAGCCGAAGGGTTTTATTTGTTAGGGTATATCATTTCACTGGATATGTTTGGAATACTGGTCGACTACTTGCTGAATATTGTGTTCTTTCTATCTATCTATCTATCTATCTATCTATCTATCTATCTATCTATCTATCTATCGACTGTCTGTCTTTCTTTGGCAGTATAATTGTATTTCTTGTTTTCAAAATATTTCTTCCTCTGAAGTACTAAAAGAATCATTAATGAAATCATTAAAGAACCAGAATCATAATTTCTTATGATTCCTATCCCTACTCCCTGTTCGTGCCAATAGTTTTGAAATGAAATATTCAACAAGCACATATGGCTGGTTTTTGAGTGTCCACATACATTTGGCCATACAGTGTGTTATGATTCCATTAAAGCACTAAAAGTAAAACTCCAGTGATGCATCTTGCCTTTGAAACCGTTTTTAAAGAGCTTTTTTCATTCCCTGGTGTTCCTTGCAGTGCAATAGTCATTGAACATCTTGAGTAGCCGACCTTCTTCACACATTTGTCATTCCTACACCCTCCACGTCTGTACTGTACGTCTGAGGAAGATATGTTTGCTAGATCTCTTTTCTCTCTTTCAGATGACAGGTGTGTGTGTTTATGTGTGGGAGAATGCTGTTGTGATCGATTGACGCCGTAGACAGATGTACGCCAGCGAGAAGAGCGCTAAACTGAGCCACACTTGCTAAGTGCTAACACTTCCCAAATTGATCTGCAGGGGCAGCTTTAAGACAACAATCTTGGGGAGCGACAGAGCCTCCGCAAACACGAGTGTCATCTGCCGCCATCTTTCCCATGTAACCTCTGGGAATAATGCACCAGAATCGATGGGGCGGATTCCGGCATCGCAGCCCTCCCTCCTCACTAGTTGTATTAGACGAGGGCAGGAACGTGGGAGGAGGAAGAGAGGGAGAAAAGCAAGACTGAGAAGGTCATTATGGAACGAAGGATGTATCCTCATGAGCAGGCAGTGGGGTCGGAGACGGCGCAAATGAGAGAGCCGACATGGCCATTCCTGGGGCCTCATTACCTTAATGGAGAACCATTGGTTCTGCTAGGGTTTCTCGAAAATCTCCCCTGACACGATTGCTTTCCTCTCTTTGCACAGCCTTAACGGTGTCAAATGAAGAGGGAGAGAAAGAAAGAAAGAGACAGAAGCAAGAGCTAGCCGAGCGGTTTGGTGAATTGCAAGGGAAGATTTGTACGTTTGGTACAGTTATAAGGTGATTGATTTGGACTAGAATCCGTCGTCGTACTTTATAAAGTCGCCTGTGGTTGACACTGCGAACTTAGCCGGTGGAAAATCGTGTAAGCACTATGCAAAGGCAGAGAACAACCTTTTAGGATTGATGTAAAGCAATACGATGGGCTAAATTGCTTCATGGTTTAATGGGTTAGTTTAACCAAAACTCAAAGTTTTGTCATCATTTACTCACTGTCACCTTCGTTCCAAACCCAAATGATTTAGATACAAAATGAGATGTTTAGAAGAATGTCTTGTGCCTTCTTTTACAAATGAAAGGGGACGGATGGTGTCAAGCTCCAAATATGAATACGATAGCTTTGTGTATTATGTTTGGCTTTCTCTGATGTTTTCTACATTGCAACTTGACATACAATGTAATGACATGTAATAGTCTTGGAAGCATGAGTAAGAATCTGTAGAAAACTTTTATTTTTTTCAAAAGTGATTTATTTATGTATTGTTTTACAGTAATACAATTTACATTTTAAAATGTACATTAATTTATGTTATTTATTCATTCATTATATATATATATATATATATATATACACACTTTTTATTGTTTTACATTTGTTTTATTTATTTTATTTGTCCCAACTGTCTTGAAAGCATTAGTAAGAATCTGTTGAATACAATTATTAAAATGTGATTACATTTTATTTTTAGTACTCCATTTTAATGAACAAAAACATATGTAAAGAAAACTTAACATTTAATGATAAATATAAAACTTTTCTGTGATGTTTTCTATATTGCAACTTGACATGTAATACATGTAATGAAATGCAATACTTTTGAAAGCAGGAGTAAGAATTTAGAAAATCAATTATTTATTTATTGGTTTTCAATTATTTATGGCTTTATTATTTTACATTTTATGTTTTATTTATTCGTTATTTATTCTAATAAAGCCTGGAAGTCTTGTAAGCATGAGTAAGAATCTGTAGAAAACATTTATTTAAATGTGATTTTATTTATTTATTTACTTATGTATTCACTTATTTGTTTTACATGTATTTATTTTTGAATGTATTCATTGTTTTACAATAACTATATATTGTACTATATTTGTTTTATTTATTATTTATTTTAATAGTCTTGAAACCATTAACAAGAATCAGTTGAAAACATTAAAATGTTTTTTTCTTTACATTTTATTGTTTTACATTTTGCGCTCACTTGAGCAAAACCTTTGTAAAGAAAATGTTGCATTTAATAAACATTTTTATAATAATATTTTATAATATCTTTAAGAAAAAATAATTTGCTATCAATAAAATGATTAAAATAAAATTATTAAAACATTTTAATTTGTGGTAGGGCCAGTGAAAATGATGACAGGAAACTACTACAGAAAAAAAAAAAAAAAAAAAAAATTGCTGTTTGGCTATAAACATTTTAATTTGTGGTAGGGCCAGTGAAAATGATGACAGGAAACTACTACAGAAAAAAAAAAAAAAAAAAAAATTGCTGATTAGCTACTTTTATATTACTTTCTACGGTAGATCCTTGTGACATTTTGCTATACTTTTCCTTTTGTGTTCCAGGGAAATAAGACAACCGCATGGATTGAGGGTGAGTAAATAATGACTGAATTTAACTCTTCAACCCTGTAACAATTCAAGAAAGTGACATTTCAGTGCCCTTTTAGAAATGATTTGGTAAAATCATGCAGTAGGAAGTGTCAGAAATAATGATGTAACTCATCCTCACCTGAACATGCATTTATTTCTTCTAAAGCGTGCGAAGCACAGGAATGACTTGTCAAATTATTTTGTTGACTGTGAGTCAGCTGCGTTTCTGCAGGCTATCTTCAGCTGGTAGATGTTGTTAAGGGGCAGCGTAATGACATCATAGCACGCAATAAGCCTTTGATTCGGTGACCCAGTCTCGAGGATGATTTTGTTTCTTCACTTACATTGTCAAGGGCATCTTTTATGTTGTTATCTGGGAAAAAATGATTTTTATCAACGAGTTTCTCCGCTACACATTTTGCCCCACAGCTTTAAACTTAGACCAAGCCGTAGTAACCGAAAAGAAAAAGAGAACCTTCAGAGAGCAGTAGAAGTCCTTGAATGCTGGCCGTTGGTTTTCATTTGGGAATTTCAGAGGAGATAAGAGAAAACTACTTGGCAGGGAATGAAAAGAGAACAAGTTCTTGCAATGTAGCAGTATATAATCAGCACTAATGAGGCCTACATCTCTTTTGTGCAACTATAGAATCATGTCACTGGACTGTTCAGTAACCTTGGCAACTATGATATATATTTAAGGGAATTATGATTCAGGACTTCAAACCGAAGCTAAGTAATGCTGCTTATGGCTGTTATATATCAGCGGCAAATAAGGATGTGCTCACCTTATTGTCTCTCTCAGCATTGATCTGAGCGTTTTGGATTACCTTCAGTTTGATTTAAGCAGGCCGATATGACATCATACACACATAAGCAGGAAACAGCCTGATAAATCAAGGTGCTGTCGGCACCTTCAGGGGTTTTCTTAAAGGGATAGTTCACCCAAAAATGAAAATTCTGTCATTAATTACTCACCCTCATGTCGTTCCAAACCTGTAAGACCTCCGTTCATCTTCGGAACACAAATTAAGATATTTCTGATGGAATCTGAGAGCTCTCTGACCCTCCCATAGACAGCAAGGGTACTACCACGATCAACGTCCAGAAACGTAGCAAGGAGATCGGTAAAATAATCCATGTGACATCAGCGGTTCAACCGTAATATTTCGAAGCTACGAGAATACTTTTTGTGCGCAAAAAAAAACAAAAAAACAAACGACTTTATTCAACAATTTGTCTTCTCCGCGTCACCCTAGCGCCATTTTGGAGAGTATTGAACGAAAACAATGGACCCGTGTGGTGCGGCTGTCACAGAACAACATGCACTGTTTGCGTTCAGTGGATACTCTCCAAAATGGCGCTAGGGTGACGCGGAGGAGACAAATTGTTGAATAAAGTCTTTTTTTTTTTTTTCATTTTTCGCACAAAAAGTATTCTCGTAGCTTCGTAATATTACGGTTGAACCCCTGATGTCACATGGATTATTTTACCGATCTCCTTGCTACGTTTCTGGATGTTGATCGTGGTAGTACCCTTGCTGTCTATGGGAGGGTCAGAGAGCTGTCAGAATGCATCAAAAATATCTTAATTTGTGTTCCGAAGATGAACGGAGGTCTTACGGGTTTGGAACGACATGAGGATGAGTAATTAATGACAGAATTTTTCATTTTTGGGTGAACTAACCCTTTAAGATTCAGACTCAAGTCGAATGACCCTGCACTCGCTCTCTCTCCCTGAAAATTTCCCCGGCGTAGTCGCTCCCCCTACAATACAGCAGCATCATCAATAGTCATTTATAGAAGGGGAGCTTTCCACACTGATAGATGCAATGAAGATTCATAGCTGCCATTTGAATGCGGGCAGGTGTGTGTGTGCGCGAGCGTGCTGGAGATGAGGATGAAAATGGCACGCACATACGTTCGCAGTCTTCCTTTTTGGTAATGTGGCCTTGCTTGTCTGGCGAAGGCAGAGAGAGATCTGGAAAGTGGGAATAAATTTCTGTTGTGTCGTACAGGTGTGATGCTGGATTTGAGGGTGATGTGGAGGTCTGTTGAAGGTCAGTGAAAGGTCACGCTTACACCTGCGTAAGCATTCATTCCCGAGACACATGGAGCTGTGTTCATCTAATGGTACTAATGTGGTAGATGCCCTTTAAGATTGATTCAAAACAAACCACGTTTCCTCGCTTTTTGAATCTGCAGTGGCACAGCAAAATAAATAATATTTTACTTGAGCTTTAAATGTAAATTTATAGTCTACATTGAATCTGATGTGATGAAAAAAAAAACACATTTATTGGCAAATAATGGAATTCTATTTTGATATGTCCTTGTGAGCTGCAAAAACAAACATAAAACGTGACCTGAGTAGTCAGATTCACAATCAAATTAATCTTGTGAGCGAGTTCCTTTAGGTGAATCTAAAACATGCAACATTATACATTTAGGTCTGATTCATGAACAAATTGTGAGCCGGTTCTTTTTAGTAAATCAGAAACATAGCGCAACCAGCGTAGTTTGTTTCACAAAACAAATTAATCTTGTGAATCTGGTTCTTTTTAGTAAATCAAAAACATACAAATGTTACCAGTTTAGTTTGATTCCTGAACAAATGACTCTTTTGAGCAAGTTCTTTTTAGTGACTCAAAAACATACAGCATTATCAGTTTAGTCTGATTCATGAACAAATACATTTTGTGAGCCGGTTCTTTTTATCGAATCAGAAATACAGTGCAACCAGTGTAGTCCAAATCACAAGCAAATTAATCTTGTGAGTTGGTTCTTTTTAGAGAATCACCCGTTTAGAAACAAATGACTCTTATAGGCTGGTTCTTTTTAGTAAATCAGAAATATACAGTGCAACAAGTTTAGTCAAAAACACTGAATAATGTGAGTCAGTTCTTTTCAGGGAATCAAAAACCAGTGTAGTCTGTTTAATGAACAAATAACTCTTATGAGCCATTTCTTGTTAGTGAATCAAAAACAAACAACATGACCAATGTAGTCACAAACAACTGACACTTTTTTTTTTAGTGAGTTGTTTAGAAAAACTCATTTGAAATAGTCTGATGAATACTTCACTGAATGAAGTGAATTTGAATTTCTATTTAAAAGGGCCATTATGTTGCATTATAGGGAAAAAAATTGATAAAATGGATAAAAACCATATAATGTAGGCCTAAGCCTTTTAACTGTGAACAGCCTTTTCAACCAATAGCTTAATTGGCCAGAACATTTTTTATTTCCTTTTCCTTTTATTATTCCATTATTCCTTTAAATGAATCATAAAATCTAGTGCTAATATAAATCGTCATCGTGAATCATCTGTTGAAGGTGGACACCTGAGGCTCTGTTGCCAGTGCTGTTATAGACATGGTTTATTTATGTATTTTTCTGAGGGCTTTATAGATCTGGAAGTATTAATCTCTGGGTGAATTTAGACAGGGAAAAATAAATACAATTCACTGCGCTCAGCTTTAGTCTTGGGTGCGTAGATCAATCAGCAGCATCATATTCTAGTAAGGGATCCGCATTCGCTTAATCTTCTTAATCACTTTCAATTTATTTTAATTTTGCAACAGAGCAAACTACAATCAGACTTTTCGGCAACAAGCCTTTTTCAGTGAATATGCATATAGTGTCATTTCCCACAAGAGTTTTTTTTTTTAAAGAAGTGACGTCCAAAGATCACCCGGTGAAAAGCCACATAACAGGTGTTACTGATCACAAAATTAACTGACCTATCAATCAAGCAATTTCAGGACAAACAACCAAAAATAACTCCAAAACACATTCAGATAAGATACCAATACAGACACAAAAGGAAAGCATATATCACAAATAATCCATCAAAATTTAAAAATGAAAGAAATCAATATCAAAACATCAGCATAAATCAAAGTGGAGAACGAGCGACGCATCAGGCCACAAACCGTTCATTAGTTCATATCTTATCACCCACTGTAACCAAACAATAAAGGATTAAACAACTTTTTCATTCTTAAAGAAAACAAGAAAGATCAAAGTCCTCTTTTAAACCCAAGGGAGACAGACCTTTTAGTCGATACATCCAATAAGCTTCTCTTTGTAAAAGTTCTTCCTCTATGTTACCACCTCTTCTGGAAATTGTTACTTTTTCGATACCTATACAACTTAAATCCTTAATGTTATAACTAGAATCATGAAAATGTATTGCTATTGGTGAATTCACATCACGTCTATTGATAGTAGATTTATGTTCACTAATACGAATTTTTAGCTGGTGACTCGTTTTTCCGATGTAAAATGATATAAATGGACATGGACATTTTAACATATAAATCACATTACATGTAGAACAGGTAATTAATGATTTATTAAAAAATGTTCTACCAGAATGTACATCACTGAACTGATTAGTTTTTGTTATCGATGAGCAGGCGGCACAAATCCTACAGGGAAAACAACCTTTTATAAATGTTTTAGGTTTGTCAGTATAAATATCAGATTTGACCAGTCTATTAGCTATATTATTTGATCTTTTGTAAATAAACAAAGGAGAATTTTTTAAAATATCACCTAAAGAGGGGTCAGTTGAAAGAATATTCCAATATTTTGTTATAATTTCCTTGATCTGATTAGACTGTTCGCTAAAAGTTAGCACACATTTAACTGAAAAAGATTTCCTTGGATTTCCTTTATTGTTTGGTTACAGTGGGTGATAAGATATGGACTAATGAACGGCTTGTGGCCTGATGCATCGCTCGTTCCCCACTTTGATTTATGCTGATGTTTTGTTATTTTTTTTTGATGGATTATTTGTGATATATGCTTTCCTTTTGTGTCTGTATTGGTATCTTATCTTAATGTGTTTTGGAATTATTTTTGGTTGTTTGTCCTGAAATTGCTTGATTGATAGGTCAATTAATTTTGTGATCAGTAACACCTGTTATGTGACTTTTCACTGGGTGATCTTTGGACTTCACTTCTTTTTAAAAATGAATAGTGAGAAATGACACTATATGATTCACTGAAGAAGGCTTGTTGCCAAAACGTCTGATTGGAGTTTGCTCTATTGCAAAATTTAAATAAATTGAAAGTGATTAAGAAGATTAAGCGAGTGCGGATCCCTTACTAGAATATGAATTTAGACGGGGTAAATAAAGGAAAGGAAACTGGCATGTGAGAGATGAGGCATCGCTTTTATATAGTCTTCCATGCATTTATCATTTTTATAAGGTAATAATGTTTTATAAAATAAACATACATATACAGGTAGGCCTACATCTGTATACATAAGCCGTATGTTAATGTATCTCGTTCTCTGAACAATACCGTTTTCCTACCGCACCATTTTCAAATCAGAGGAAGCACTGATATACAATGAGTAATCAAATATCTAAAGCTGTGTGGATTGCAGATTAGTGTTCTTGCCACTATGATTCAGGCAAAACAACAAAACACATTTTTACTTTAACAATGATGTTTGAAATAATGCCAGCTGGAAGCCATTTCAGAAGTATTCTGCAGCTGGTTCTTGCATTCAGAATGAAACCGCGTAAACCACTGGTTTGATCTGGTTTCAGGTACAGCAGAAATGCTTCTTGTAACTTGATGTATCTTCTTAGATGCCTGGATGCACTTCAGACTTAGAAATATGACTGTAATGGAATACAGGCATAATGCACACACTAAATGCGGCCTAATATCTTTGCATGTTATGCACAAATAAACATTTAAAACAAACAGTAGGTCTGCACATTAAATTTAATAATAATAATAATAATAATAATAAATAAAATAAATAAATAAAAAAAACTTGTTGATTTTGGGTGTATTTTGGCCAGTATTTAATTGTGCATGCTTATTTTCCTTATTTTTATTGATTCCCTTTGACATCATTGTTTTGAGGAAGAAAAAATAAAGTCAGAATTGTGAGATATAAACTTTTGTTCTTGCAGATCTGAGTTTATATTTTGGATATTTCTTTTTATGTTTTATATTTACATTTCTTTCTCAAAATTCTAAGTTCACAATTCTGCTTTTTATGGAAGCTTGTTTTGGCCACTTTTTTCATGATTCTGTCAAAATTATACTTGGAATTGTGAGGAAAAAAATGTCAGAATTCACAGTTTAACATTTTTTTACATTTAAAATGTTATCTCACAAAATTGTGAAACTTATAGCTTGCAATTCTGAGTTTATATTTCACAATTCTGAGTTTGATATTGTACAATTCTCAGAATTGTGAGAAAACAAAGTCTGAATTATGAGTCTGAGTTATGGAAACAGGCTTTCATACATAATACTGTTAATTGTATTTAAGCAAATCTCAAAATGAATATCCGGTTCTGTGCATTATTATGTTGTTTATTTACTTGTAGCATTTTAAACATCT